AAATACCCAACAACCTCAACATCTTTTCTCATGCCCACTGTGGGATGGGCCCTGTTTGAAACACACATATTATGTATGTACATTATATGTGAAAGCAATGAGTATTAAAAATATAGTACTTATTCACAGATGACCAAAAAGGTTATGCATATCTAGGAGATATCACAGTTTCTAAGCCCAACAGAACTCAATTTTGTAGGGTCTCATACCACTCACAATGCAAGGGTAAACTATTGTGACCAAATACAGGATACAGACAAGAAAGGGAATGGTCTTACTGCACAGTGCCTGGGTCACACCATATGATGAGTACTTTGACATTTGGATGTGAAAGTGGGACACAAGATGAGTAAGGAAACAATAATTATAAGGAGAATAAAGAACAGATTATATGTATTGTTTCCGTAGTGCAAGAACCTGAAACAGTAAATAAAATCTGAAAGGTACACTAGATGCTGTGACACAGAAAGAAACTGCTCAAGGGGAAGAAACAACTGAGATGAGCAAATGCAGACAAGAAAGAAAAAAGGGAAAACACACATATATACAGGATATCTTGGAGAATAATACTACTGATTTCTATTGGTCTATTGCAAGGAACAGTTGACGTTTAATTTTTTTCCCTTCCTTTTAATTTTTTGACCCATTTTGCATGCTTTTATCTGGTAATCTGAACAACTAATTATAAGACAATATGCAATATAACAACCGTTGTTTAATTCCTATCACTTTTTAGTGAAATTCTGTATCATTTCTAATGCTTTTTTAAAAATTATTTTTGGTCTTTTTTTTTCTAAAGAATAGTTAGAATAGTGAGGATTTAAGCCTGAAGAAAGGTATAATGATTGGAGCAAATTATGACTACTGTGCTAAATTTTAAGCACTCTGATATAGAAGAAGGAACACACTCTACTTAGGGTTCTTTTTTTATTTTTGAGTTTGAAACTGATTTTATAGGAGGCATTTAGCAGAAGAAATTCCTAACAAGGAGTGAATGATAGTGTAACTTGGAAATGACTTCCTGATCCATGGTGGAAGTATTCAAGGAGCAGCTAGATGATCATTCGTGAAGTACTGTGTATGAGAATTCCTATATCAGAACAGAGATTGGACCAACTAGGTCTGATTTTGGTCTCTCTAGTATTACAGATCTTGAAAAATGTTAATTTTGAAATTAAGTCAACAAATACTAAATATTCAATAAATAAACAAACACTCATTCAATAAATATTTGACACCTCTTTTATAACAGAGAACAAAATAGATACTGTGCCTATCTCCCAAACTGTTAAATCCAACACAGAAGATTAAAATTAAGGAGATACTTGCATACATAATTGAACTTAATTGCTAAATTTAATTGTGAGGAGAGCTAGGAAAAATGAAAATTGTTAAGGCACAGGGTCTAATCTGGTTTGGGGGTTTCGGAAGCCTCCTTTAAGGAAGCGGTGTCTAAACTGACCTCCTCAGGTTGAATGAGCCAATAGGAAGTGGTTCTAGATTCAGAGTTCCAGTCCAGAAAACCTAACATATGGAAACATGAACTTTTTGTCAGTACTAAACTGTCTTATAAATGTCCCTTAGTACTGCTTGATTTAGTGATTTGCTATGGACATTGGCTTGATTTAGTGACTTGCTGTAAATGTATCTGCTCTATGGGAAGTTGTCCTTTGTTCACAGCCTTATTGATTTGCTTTGGCCTCCCAGTTTAGTTTGATTGAATATTGCTTGTTATATCCGACTGATACCAGTACCTGCTGTTATGTGTTTATAGGCATCCAAGAGCTCAGAGTCTGAGTTATATCCACAGAAACCAGTGAAATATCTTTCATCCTTGAACCTTGAGCTGAAAGTACTTTGGCTTAAATGTTACCTATAAAACCTAGGAGTGAATGAGGAATAGATCTAAGGAGTCAGTGAACTCACCCTTCTCCTGGCTATATTTCAAAAATCTACACACTCAAATCTTTTATCTAAGTTAAGGATGAGCCCTCATACAGCTTCAAAGCAGCTGATGGTATGAGAGGAATGCCTAGAGCCCATAAAGTGCTGCTGATAAATGCAACCTGAAAAGATCTGTGTCTGCGAAGAGCTGACTGAGCAGGTAACGCCAGGCACTGGCTAGAAGGAGAACTTCTCAGCTAATCATTATTTTGAAATTTCCAAGTTTTTCAAGAGGAGACTCAGCATTCACATGATACACAGGCGGGTCTGTATGTAGACTGAGTGGATTCAGGTGGCTCAGCCTGCTTCACTTGTCAGTGCCTGATTTGACAGCTGAGAAACACTAGCATCTTAGCGATATCCATCATGTTCAATTGTGCAGAGCACTTCTGTTTGTGAGGTATGTCACTGAATTCATAGTATGAGCTAGGATTGGAAGAGTTAAGAAGTATGGCATTGCACAATAAAGTGTGGCATGGCCTGATTTAGGATCTTGTCATCAGAAAGTCAATTTTAAAGCATTCCTTAGTGCATTTGTAATTTCCATAGTGTGAGCCCTGCTGAGACTCTAGGATGGTGGCTTTTGTTTAACATCTGTGGATACTGCAGCCTCTGAGAGGCGATAAGTATACAGTTATTGTCTGGGTCCTCTTAAAAGTAAAGTTAGAAAAGGTAGTTTCCAAGCAATAGAACTGGCTATTGAATTATAACACTGAGTTGAGCATTTGTTAGCAAAAGCTTTTATCTTTTCCACAAAATTTTTATCTTAATTTTATAAAGAATTATTTGTTTGGCTTCACAAATACTGCTCTAGAAGAGATAATGTATAAATGAAATAGATGGTATTTGGTTTATCTTAAGTAAAATAAATAAAAGATAAAATGGGAGCTAAGAAAATGTGAAGATTCATTTAGTTTTAGTCATTCTATGGTACCATAGTTGTTCTCTGAGCAATGCAAAATAATGTGTAAATGCCTCAAGGTATCTTCTTTATTATACAATCTCAAGATCACACAATAAAATACCGTGAAGTTACAGAAAGAAAATCTGAATAAATTAATAAGCTCATTAAGGAATATATTATAGATAATATGTAACTTCAAGTTACAAAACATATAAAGCTATATAAATTATTCCCACATTCAATTATTTATCCTATATTCTAGACACATATTTTTCAGTAAATATCAAGTATATTCTTGAAAAATGGTCATAGCTCAATTTGCTGAATTTACTGTTTTTCGCATAAACTCTGTACATGTATAGTCTTATTTAGCATTCCTAACAACTTTATGAAGAGAGTGTTATGATTCTCATTACAGAGAAGAAAAATACCTTTTAGAGAAGTATTAGCTCAACACTTAAAAAATACGTATAGTTAGTATTAAATGTATAATTTGAGTCAAGATATTCTGAGTTGAAGCTTGTATTTCAATAACAACTCATACTACTATCAATACAGCAAGTCAACTAACTGGAAAACAATAAATTAAAATTTTGTACCTCATATACCTAGTTTATTTTTGAGGTTATTTGCTATTTTTAAAACATAAATTGGCTATAAATTGAGTAATCTCAGACTGTCTAACTATTGTTAAAAATCATATTGTCAATTATTAAAGAAATGTCTTATGTTAGTTGAGTATGCTTAGAATTTGGGGGTCATGCCTCTACATATTTTTTATCAGAACCGGGGATTGAACTGAGGCCACTTGCCAGGGAAGCACTATTCCATTGAGCCATCTCCCCGGCCCTCTCTACATATTTTTTGACCCAGGGTATTGATATATAGATCAGAATGGCCTTGAACTTGCTTATGCAGCTCAGTCTGTCCTTGAAGTTATGGCAATCCTCCTGTCTCAGCCTTCCAAGTGCTGGGATTACAGATGTGTGCCGCCATGTCAGGCTTCTTCCTTATACTTTCATGTGACATTGGCTGGTGACTGTAACTAAGGATAATAATTCCTCAGCTTAATTGTTTTATCTTCTAGTTAATATGAGATCTGCAGAAGAAGTGGATGATGACTTATGGCAAGTATATGCATAAACTTTGGGAAAGGAATCATTAACATATTTTTTTAGAAATAATTATGTAGTGAAGGCTAAAGTATTCAGGATGGGAACATTCTCTTCTCAATATTACTCTTTCCTGAAATGTGCCCATTTTCAAGTTCTAGCTTTCAGGAATAACTAATTTGCTTCCAAAAGATCCATGATAATGGGATACAGAGCTTACGGAGTGAAGATGACACCCACAAAAAAGGGAGAAGGAAAGCTCGTAGGTAAAGTCAGCCCCATCAAAGCAAAGTGGAAATTAGATCAGTTAATGATGAGTCAAACATTGTAAGTTTTGTGAGTTCATTTCCTATATTGATTTTTGCTTTCTATGGAATTATTTTATAGTTTTGACTTTTTAATAGAATTATATGCAAATATTTTTGATAGGAAGAGGATCCATATGAGTCTAATAGCGTGGGTGTTTGCATTCTTGTGCATGGCCTTGAAGTTTGTTTAGTCATTCATTGATTTCTTAGACTTAAATGAACAGATGAAAAAAATGTGGCAACTTGTTCTTTTTTTTCTCTTGCTTTTTCAGCCACTCTTTATTGTGGTAACGAGTGCTATAATGAACTTAAGCAAGAAAATATTTGCCTTGGTTTTTAGTTAGAGAAAAATAATTTTTAATTATATATTGCTTATTTTTCAACTTCTCTAGAGAATTTTAACCTCAATTTTGAAAGAAATGAATGACAAAGATAGCTTCATACTCTTACCTGAATGGAAATGACTGATTCTAAGGCTAGCTTTACACGATGGCCATTATTTGTTAGTTTATCATTGCTGCATCCAGTTTAATAGCATAAGATCCAAAGGCAAAAATAAAAGTCCCATAGCCTTTTCTAGCTCTCAAATATGCCAGTAACTCAGTGTCTACTGTGTGGAAATATTGAGAAAGTTTTTGAATTCAAATTTCTATAAATCTTTGATATTTGCTTATTTATTTTCTGTACAAAAGCAGCCTCTTCATGTTTGATGTCCCAGAAGCAAGTGCCTGTTTCTTTTGAGTTTGATTATAGGAAAAGAGATCTCCTCAGAGAGCTCAGCTGGGTATATCCTGCTGTTGCCTTAGTCTCTTTCATGGAAGGAGAGAAGTGAGGAAGACGAGCACACCATGGGATTGGTAATTGTTTGTAGTTCTGGCAAAATCCTCAAATGATATTTATTCTGTGACAATCACTTCCAACTGGAGCCTTCAGTTCTGCAGCTGATGAAAGATGGACAACAGGCAAATGCTTAGACTGCACACATTTGAATCCTTTGAAGTCCAATCCCCCCGTCTCTGTTATGTAAGTGCTATTTGTAGACATATTTTGCCGCTGCTGTGTTGGTGCCTAATTAGAACAAATAGAAAAAACAACATAATTCATTTTCTACCAAGTATTTGAGTAGGGGTCAGATGATTATTAAAGCAGAAGGGAAAGGTGCAAAAGTTTAGGATTTGGACATGTTCCAAGATGTATTGTCTTAATGATCCTGGTATTGTGGTCAGTTTCTTAAAGGTTATAGGACTGGCATTTCCTCACTTTTTATGGAAACAGAATTAGGTTAATTGTTAAAGGATGAGAATCGCTTGAGAACGTTTGCTTAGGGGCACATTTTGAGTTTATTCCTGGAAATGAACGAAACTGGCAGGAACAAGGTCAGTTTTCTATTATGCCTGATGACCATTTCCAGGAAAGTCTGGTTAGCCAAACCACACGGATTCCTGGGTTCTATCGTAAATCGCCAAAAGGCATGTCCAGTAGTGGAAATTGTTCTACTTGCTCTTATAATACTATCATCTATTAACTCTTCATGCAAGGACTAAAATCCTGAGTAAGAGTCTAAAAAGATATAAATACTGAGATTCAACAAATAGAAAACATTCTCTTCCACAAGTAGATCTAACTGTCCTTATCACATATGCTAGAGTGGGGAAAATATTTTTACAAATGAGAGACTCTCTGGTGGCGATTTAACTTTCTAGCAGTCTATAACGAGTCTCCATTTGATTTTTTTCTTTGCCATGAGATTCAACAAATAGAAAACATTCTCTTCCACAAGTAGATCTAACTGTCCTTATCACATATGCTAGAGTGGGGAAAATATTTTTACAAATGAGAGACTCTCTGGTGGCGATTTAACTTTCTAGCAGTCTATAACGAGTCTCCATTTGATTTTTTTCTTTGCCATGTGTCCTAATTTAAATAATTTTTCCATTAAGTTAGCAATTTATACAGTCAGTATATTTTAATGAGTGTCATTAAAATTGGAATGTTAAGATTATTTATTGATTTTGTTAATATTTATTGAGGATATTATAAATGGCAGAAATCAGGTACTATGTATAAGAAAAAGTGAACAAAATGCAACTATTGGGCTGGAGAGATAGTTCAGCTTACTAAGCACTTGCTTAGGCAAGCACAGAGGCCACAGTTAGAACCCTGGCACCCCATGCTATTCTGGCCCTGGAACCCTGCGTGCGCTGAGCCAGTCGTCAAGTCAGGGTGTGGCAGTACACACCTGTAATCCCAGCATGAGGGAGACTGAAAATAGGACAATCACTATGAGTCCGAGCTGTGTAATGAGACCCTGTAAACACACACACACACACACACACACACACACACACACACACACAAAACTAAAATACACAAATATTTCTCCTTGCATGAATTTTTCATTTTCGTGGAGTAAAGAAATGGGGAAATGTTTAATGCTGTACTTAATATTAAAAAAGGAAAAGATAGAATAACTCAGCCATTCGGATAGTCAATATATTTTTCTATTGATTTCGATCTGGTCATGTTTATTCACATATGTTCTTTATTCTGATTTACTTGGGGCAACCATAAAGATTTTTGACAAAGTTGACAGATTTTGCCTAATTTTAGGTCCTACATTAATGTTAGTTTATCAAGATAGAATTTATGACACCGAGATTATTTGTTTTAATACATACACTAATCAGTTGTAGCACTAACTGGATTCCTTTCATGGCTCTATGAAATATAGAATTTATTAGATACTTGTGTCTATACAAAACATGTTAGTTTGTGTTTTTAAAATTTATTCTGTCTCTTTTCAAGATGCTAACAGGTACTTTACACCCATTCATATCATGAAATATTCAGACTCAAGAGGAAATGGCTGCAATTAGGAATCTTACTGCAAATAATTCAGACATTTTAAATCTATTTCTCTTTCTTTCAGCTATGAAAGTCTACACTTGATACAGACAGATTTAAATTTCTTTTGATTTATAACCTTTTTATTATAAACTGCCTCAAATCCTTTTGGGTTAATGGTTCCAATTTTTGTAAGCTTCCTCAAATTTTTTCTTATTTGACATTTGGGAGCAGGTTATTTAACATCGGTAGCATTGAGAACTTCAGTAGGAAACCAAAGATCACACTAGATGCTTCAAATAGACAACATTTATTCTGGGTAATTCTTGACATAGGTGGAAGAAATGCTGGGAGACTTAACAGTGAACAGAGGAATCTAGGAATCAATAGCAGTAGGAAGCAGCTACCATTCTAGGTTTATGTTGCCAGAACATGGTGCCCAGCCATCTGGTATACTCGCTTGGTAGAAGCTTCAGCTATACATGCTACCAGAATTACTGCATGGGAAGGGAAAGAGGAAAAAAGTTTTGATCTCTTCCTTTTCCCCATCTTCACTTGTCCAATCATCTAAGTCTCCTGTCAGTCCTTCTTTTAAGGTTAAACCCTCTTAAAAGACAGCGTATACAGGCCTGTAAAACCCATCCCTACATGTCTGGATTTGTTGCCTTCACAATGCAATATAACACATTCAGAAATTTCCAGAAGGGTATGCCAGAGGTTGCAATGAATTTCAGAACTTATTTATAGAACAAAAACATACACAGAGCAACCATGATTAAGAAATGGATTTGTAAGCACACAGGAACGATATAAATATTGAGGTGAAGCAATCAATACAGATGATATTTTATTCATAGCCACAATATCCTCTAGAGAAAATAAACTAATTGATAGCAAGTGTTTTTCAAAAGTTTTCATAAATCTCATTATCTCCTTATTTAGTCACTTATTTTAAATTGACACATAAAATTATCAGTGTGACAATTTTATATGGATATACAATGTATAATGATCAAATCATGGTAGAGTGTTTCCCTCTTTGTAATTTATCATTGGTTTGTTCTTTAGATGTTCAAATATCTCTCTTTTAATTCTTTATAAAATATATAATAGATTTTTGTGAAGTATGATCATTTAACTCTCTTGAGAGGTTAGCTCAACTGTGGGCTTGAGAATACAGTTAAATAGAATACGTCCTTGATCAACTATCAACAAACTTATAGTTTCAAGTTGTGAGTAAAACTTGGAGTTTTATGCATTCACTCTCTGATATAGAATTTAGTAAATGAATATAAACTCAAAATTTTGGAAGAAATCCTGTCAACTTTTTCTGAAAATGGTAGAGTGATATTTGTTTAGGTTCCTCTAAGTATAGAATTTGATACATTCTATAGGTTATCCAGCTTTATAAAATTAAAAATTGTATCTACTAATCATTGTAGCCTCTATAATTTATTTTTAGCTATAAGTTGATGAGATGAACCTAAAAGAGTTAGAAGATATTCTGAAAATTAAAGATGTATATATGAAACATACATGGATTTGTTGCTTTCATAAAACAATATATCATATTCAGAAATTTTCCAGGAGGAAACACCTGAAGTTGTAATGATTTTCAGGACTTACTTAAAGAAAAAATATGTTTTCTATTACTGTAGAATGAAAAAACTCTACAAAATATTTGTGCTATAGAAAGTTTCAGTGAATTTTAAATGAATCAAATTGAACCTTAAGTAGATTTAATTAAATTTAATATAAAGTTTTGGTGATCCACTGGACAGTTGTTTTCTTAGATAATGATCTTTCTAAGGGTTGTTGTCTAGACAGACCGGATTTTGAAATCTTTTTCACATACTAAAAGAAGATTTTTTTTTTTTTTGTATTTTAGGGAAGGGTCTACAGGGTGTTCAGGGTCTCACTTCTAGATTGGACTCTTATTGATCCGCCTGTTTACAGCCTCCCAAGAGCTGGGATTACAGGCTCACGCCACCACACCTGGTCTCAATTGCAGTCTCAGCATGCCCCTGGGGTGGGGCCAGCACAGCAGGCCTGGGGATCGAGCCCCCAGTCCTGCTTTAATCCTCTGAGCTATTTGGCCAGCCCTAAAAGAAGAATTTTACACTCATGCCTTTGTAAGTGGGCTAAAGAATACATACCTCCTCCCAGAAAATGATTCTTCTTTATTAGAATTAAGCTATTTTACCTAGGGCTGGGATCTCTCTGGTAGAACATTTCAAGAAGATTATCTGCTGCTTGAACAAGGCTGGAGGAATTATCAACATGATGTGTTTGAATCCAGGAAATTAAACTGAGAACCATGACTGGAAAAATGGTTAAAATATCACAAATTTACTTTGAAATAATAGAGCCTCTTGTCATCATTTGTGATCTGACCATTGGTTCCATCTCTGTTATCTGTGGAGTTGCTCACCGAACCTTCCCAAAACAGCCATGTTTTGTGGAAGTCCAATTTAGTGATGCCAGAGAATTGTCTTGAGACTGGTGCCATGTTTCTCAGCTTCCAGTAAAGGAAAAAGCTTCCTCTTTGTCTAAAGCACCCTATTTTCTAAAGTTAGATTATTATAACATAATGTGGCATAAACAACTATATATAATATCAATTTTCACTGTTAAAATAATAGATACATTATTATGAACTTTTATAAAGTAATAGCTCCCTTTTCTATATTTAATTATTTTTAGCTCATCCTCAAGAAGGGAGTTCATTAGTGATCTGTCTCTCTGACCATGAGAGTTTGAGTAAATGTACAAATATTACCTAAGCTACTTAAGGGAAATTTCTTTACAGTCCTGTAAGGCACTATTTCTTTCTTTTTTTTAAAACCATGTCAAGTTGAACATTTATTAAATGTACGGTTAAGTGAGGATGATTCTGCTCTCTTTAAAACAAGAATTACAAATTGTATATTTAGGGCAGCTGAATAACAGGTTTAATGCATCTTTTCACATCACATTTACATTCTGGATAGTTTCTTACATCCATTTTACTTTTGAAAAACATGTTAATATACAAGTTTCTCCTCATTACAGGTACTGCAGAGATCCCCGCATGCCTTCAGTCAGAGGGAACAGATAAAGAGCTTAGGACCTGGTTGTAACTGCAAGGAGTGGATGCAAGTACAATTGAAAAGGTATATGTATAACCAAAAGCTATTCTTATTGACATTGGAAGAAAACTACTTATCTCTCATGTTCTTCATCGTTGTTTCAGATTGTTGAAGAGGGTTATACTCTTGCTGATATTCTTAGCAACATCACTAAGGAAGACCTAAAGCACCTTCAAATATAGGAAGAGATTCAATACAGTTTGTATAATAGAACTTTCTTTGTGTGAATATATGTTAAAGTAGAAAACATAATGCTGGTAACTTGTCCCCTCTAAATCTGGAGTAAATCTGGAGTTCTTGCTAGGTTCAAGTTGGGAAAAGGCCAAGGTATGGCCTGAGGTACTACACTCTATACTCAGTTCTCATTGGCAACCGCCATCTTGTTCCCATGTCACTTTAGTAGCCTCACACAGACCCCTCAGTACTTCTGTACACGTCTCTAGAGCCATGGCCTACCGATGCTAGGGCAAGAGCATCACCTTCATATAGGAATGTTTCTATGAGGCACTTAATTTAGGGACTTCACTTCTGAGAGTAGATGGCAAATGTGAACTCTTATGAGTCATACACTATATTTTTTTGCTGGAAACACTCCTAGACAGGCATTTGGGAGTTTTAGTTTGAAATTTGCCTTTCTTACAACTCTTTTATTTATTTCACAGTGGTGATATCCTCTGTAAAATCTGGCTTGCGATCTTCCAGCACAGAAGACAGGCTGAAGCGTCTACAGAGGCTGCAGCTACATCAGAAGACAGAGAGAGCAAGTAGCTGACCTGGTTAGAGCCTCAGTTTCCACACAACGAATTCTTACAAAAGAAAGACTCATTCAGTTAATTTAGGAATTTAAAGTTTTAAAGACTGCTCTCATTGAAATTTTTTAGTCTGTTATTTATAAGCATATTTTAAAGATTTGTATAAGGATATGTAATAGAATAGTCAATCTTAGTCACCACACCCTACAGTAGTTGATGGAAAGAAACTCTTTAAAATGAAGCCAAGTACCTCTGCTTTAGGGTGTACCTTATTTACTAGTATAGCACTTAAATATGAGAGATAAATAAATACAATGAATTTATTATCTATTAGGAATGTAACTTGAGATAAATTCATGTTTGTTTTGAATACATAAATGAAAAGACAATTTGGCCTTTGAAATCTTATTTATAATCATAAACATTTTGGAGAAGTAAGCAGTGCAGTCTTCTGCACCCATACTACCTGCGAGGTTGAGGGGTCTGATGAGAATACAGCAATGATTCCTCAACCAGTGATCTCCACCCAAAGAGGTGACAGCTTTGGAATAGACATACAAGGAATTGTTCTTCTGTTTAGACAGATTAAACTATTCTAGGAAATAATTTTTTGGGGGGGAAGATTATACTTTTGTTTTTATATATTCACAGGAAGCACTTAAGAACTAATGTATAACCTGCATGTAGTTCCTCCTTAGTATAATTTACATGTTATTTAAAAAGAGTCCAAGACTTACACCAAACTTTTTTGGGTATTATTTCTCAAAGGTGAAAACAGAGTTCCTTACAATTGTTGATAAGCAGCCCATCCATTACATGCGATCTCTTGTTAGCTGACTGACTTGAATTTGATCCACTGATTAGCATTACACACTTCAAAGGGTGGGTCGCTATTGTAGATGTGATGGTCTTGTTCTTCCAGAGGTGGCTCAGGGTCAGCTGTGGCAAACTGGGCAGCATCCTCGATTTCTTTCCTCACAATTTCCTTTAATTCTTCAACACTGGCAAGATTGGTGTTCACCATTCTATCTTTGAGAAGCATAATATGGTCACTCTTACTTCTTCCTGAGTTTCTCCTCATCTACAATAACTGACTCCAGGATCACTCGTACTATGTCCATGGTAACAGTAAGTATGCAGTGCCATCAGGATGGGCCTCTTCCCAGATCTAGAATAGGCAGCTACAAAGCTTGTTGCTTCCTGGACACACAGGTTATCCATTCCATCTGTCCTCCGCCCAGGAATAAAATCACCTCTCTTATAGTAATCAGGGCTGGCTGCAGCTTGCTCAACAGATGTTCCCATTCTATAGTGGTTATTCTCACAGATGAAAATACAAGGTAATTTCCACAACACTTCCATATGGTAAACCTCAAATATCTGACCCTGACTGGCAGCGCCATCACCATATAACGTCAAACAGATCTCATTTTTCCATTGTACTTGTAGGCCAGAGCAATCCAAGCTCCCAGGGGCACCTGAGCTCCAATATCATTACCCTTATAGAAGTTCTTGGCCTACATGTGCCTAGATCCTCCTTTCCTATTAGCACAACTTCCTCTTTGTCCTGTTAGCTCTGCCAGAATCTCCTGGGCTGAAAGACCTTGAGTGAAAGTAAAGCCATGAGCCCGATAGACTGTGATCAGATGGTTCATAGAATTTATGCCAGCCTGGAGTCCCACACAGCAGGCTTCCTGACCATCACACAAGTAGCAGAAACCACGAATAATCTGCTTATAGAGTTGACCTGCATTTAGCTCCATTCAGTACATGATTTGCATCATCCTGTAGTATTTGTTATGCTCCATCCTCCATCCTCCATCCTCCATGGTGAGCACTGTGGTGACAGGTGGGCCCTCTTCAAGCCGATGAAGATCACATTTCTTAATTTCAAGTGTAGCATCATTTGCAAAATTATGGGACACCACTAGCACTCCGCTTGACAGCTTCTGGGCAGCGCCGGACAGCACACGGAGATGGTGGCGAGCATCTTCCTCAAGGAGCACAGGTTGTAACTGAGGTGGTAACACCAAAGGACTCAAGAACAGCTAGGCCATCCCTGAGTCTCTTTCTAGGCACTATTTCTTTGTAATAGTTTGTGTAATGTTTTTCTGCTGGGGGATTTTAGGCAAATCACTTTACCCAGTGTTCTTATCTACAAGACATTTTGGATAAATTATAAGTAGCAAGTATCCTATAGTATATAGCCAAGTAATAGACAAAGGACTAAAAGTTACTCTGTACTTATTAATTTATAGTCTTTACTCCATATTTGAGAGGCACTGAATACCAAAATCTGTAATGTTCAAATCCTGTTTATAAAATAGCATAAGCTATACATATAACTTATGATCCTATTGTGTACTTTATGTTATCTCTATATTCCACATAGTTCTTCATAGTATAAAATTTTATCCATAGAGGGCTGACTTTACCACTGTTCATGTAAGTTATTTAGAATCACTCTGTTGGCTGGATTTATCTTTCATTAAAAGTGTTGTGCTAAGTTTTACTTCATTTATTTTCTTAAGAGGAGGTACTTTAGCTCACAGGATGAAGAAAACAAAAGAAAGTCTGGAGATGAAGACAAACGTAGGGGCATAGGCAACGTAACTTAAGGAGTTGAATCTCATCACGTTACACTGATAGCAAGATATTTTTATTCACCACAACACTACTACTATTACTTTATAAATAAGGTAAATGGAGATTTCAAAATAGGTGGAAAGTTTCTTCTGAGACCTTCTAAATTTCTAGAGAAGAGAAAAACTCTTTTCCTGAGAGGTGGAAGTGTTTCACAATTTTGCATGTTATTATAAAAGAGCCACAGAACTGGTCTATTTTCATAGACGGTGAGAAATGATGGTACTCCATAGCAGTCAGAACTCTCCTTGTTGCTCTAAGCTGCATTTCCATGCAAGACAGGACTGCTGGGAGTGGAGAACTGGAAGAGTTGGGAGCTCAGGAGAGTGGGGTTTACAGGTATAGGCCTCAGTTTTTATTTATTATTTATTTATTTATTTATTTAATTTATTTTTTGTGGTACTGGGGAAGGAACTCAGGATCCTGTGCTTGCCAGGCAGGCACTTACTCTACAGAGCTATCTTCCTGGCCCAAGGGCTTTGTTTTTTAAATGGAGAAATCCTTGAGACTAATATTGTACTTTCCCCTTTAGTCAGAAAGCAGAAATAATTACTTAGGAATTTAGTTTCTCTGTAACTCTTTAGTGGAATTATATCTCACTGAGGAAAAATAAACCTTCAGCACACACTTGGACAAGCTAAGCTGGGACACCATTAAGCAAGAGATGATAGTAGGGGAGTTCTTTAGGAGGATGAGAAGAGTGGCAGCTGGCCTTGGCTTGGGACCAGTCTTCATTCATTTTTGGTATGTGAAGAACAAAACCAATGTCAGGAAATGAACTACTTCCAAATATTTGTTCATAACAGAGCCTGAATCTTTCTGTTTTGTGACAAGTTCTAGATCATCAGTGCTTCATAGCCAAATTATATCTTGATATCAAGGCCAATGGTAAGTAAGTACATGAATGCATCTTAAACTTCATTTGATTTCTGCAATAATTTTTAGGAGTTAAGGGTTAATAAAATCCCAATTTTTTTTTTTTTTTGGTGGAACCGGGGATTGAACTCATGCCCTCGCGCTTGCCAGGGAAGCGCTTATTCCACTGAGACGAAATGTTTTCTTCAATGGCAAAAGGAAAAAGCATGGAGAAAAGGACAGCTAATGCCTAAATACACTTTGATGTTTATGTATGACAAAGATTGCCAAAATACTCAAGACATGTTACTAAAAAAGAACCTGTATATTGGGAAAATTATAGTACTTAACTTACCTACATATGGAAAAATTTGGAGGGTTGGCCAAATAGCTCAACAGATTAAAGCACCTGCAAGCAGGCGCAGGGGCTAGGGGTTCAATTCCTGGGTCTGTTGTGTAGGCCTCACCCCTGGGGCATGCATTGAGATGCCATTTGAGACTGGGCATGGTGGCACGCACTGGTAATCCCAGCTCTGGGAGGCTGTAAACAGAGGGATCACTATAAGTCTGATCTAGTAGTGAGACCCTGAACACCCTGTAGACCCTTCCCTAAGATACAAAATAATAAAATAAATAAATAAATAAAAATAAAAAAGAAAAATTTAGGTTCTTGTTTTCACAAAAAGAAAAATTTTGAATAGAACTGATGATATTATTCAGAATATTTTACTATATAAGTCATGATTTGAAACACTATTTCCCATCACACACTAGACCGAGCCCTTTCTACTGGTGGGAATGTATATACCAGACAACACAAACTTCAACTTGCTTATCCTCCATGCTTACATTTCCATTTGTCATTTTCTCATCTGAAGGAGGCAGTGGCCACAATTATTGTAGTCATCCTACAGGGAAGATTTTAAAGGAA